TCTCACAATAACAGTGAAACTAACAATGGATAAGACGACATCCCTTCGGTAGTCCATCTCATTCTCTTTTCCATCTCACTCTGTTGTGCTTAATCATGCTGGCTGCCTTGTCTCCAGACCCTCTCTCCTCTCCTCTGTCCCTGGGCCTGTAATCTGGGCCTGACCCTGGCTGTAGATCCTCTTAGCCTCGAGCTCACTTACACACAGGCTGCAAATACCCTGCTCTCAATGTGTGAGGGACACTAATCTTTGGCAAACCCTACAACAGACCATTGTTGATGCCCGCAGTCATTTTAAGGGAAAAACAGCCATTTTAAAATGCACTATGTCAAACGGTGAGACTTGTTACAGTTCCAAATAAACACTATTGTATCTGATGTTACTGTCTTAAAGGATCAATATTACGCCATTTTCTAAATTATGTTATAATGTTGTTTCCTCATGACAACCATACCTAGAGTTGTGTTTTGTTTCATTCACACATTTCCTAACACACAAACCATGCATATTTAGACTGAGTTCTTCTCTCAAACTCAAAACACTCTGTTCCACCTTGTGATGTCATGTGGTATACAGCAAGTGCTCTGCTGTTTTTTCAAAATCCATACATCTTCACTAGAATCATTTAGGGAATTTCAGCCCTAGAATTGCCTGCTGAAGTAAAAAGGTGGCTATTAACATGAAAGCTATACAGTCCCTGACAAAAGTCTTGTCGCTTATCCATTTTGTAGAAACAAAAGCTTATAACCTGACTTTAAATTAATCGATTGGTTTTAGAAATGTCTCATATGAAAGCTAAAACCCTCCCAAATTATGCTCAATATACTAAAATAAATTTGCTTCACTGAAGAAAGATTGATCATTTAATGAACACAGGAAGGTCAGATTTTGGCAAGACAAAAGTCTTGTCGCCTTGTCATATGATGCAGCCAATCCTAGATTACAGCCTCACCTGTGATCAGTTACTGATCAATCAATTAGTGGGTGTGTATAAAAAGAACCCCAGCACACAAAAACAACTGCAACTTGACCTCTGACAACATGCCTAAGATCCACCCTGAGACCAAAGCGTTAATTATCAAGAGGCTGAAGACCAGATCCACTGCTGAGGTGCTGACACCTTCAATGTGTCTCAGCGTCAAGTACAAAGAATAAGAAAAAGATCTGAAATGACTGGAGATGTTTTTGACAAGCCCAGGTCCGGCAGACCCCGCAAGACAACTGCTCGGGAGGACCATTTGTTGATTCGAAAATCCAAGGCCAGCCCCTTTTCCACTGCAGCAGAGCTCCACCAGGCCTGGTCACCTCAAGTCCCTGTGTCAACCACAACAGTTTGTAGAATTCTGTCTCGAAATGGCCTCGATGGTCGAATCAGTGCACAGAAACCAGCACTAAACAAAAGGCAATTAAAAAATCGTGTGGCACTTGCCAAGTCCCACAGCCTGCTAAAAGGATGGACACTGGAAAAGTGGCAGAAGGTGGATTTCTCAGATGAATCCTCAGTTGAATTACATCACAGCTGCCGCAAATATTGCAGGAGACCTATTGGAGCCCGCATGGATCCAAGATTCACCCAGAAAACAGTCAAGTTTGGTGGCGGAAAAATCATGGTCTGGTGTTACATCCAGTATGGGGGTGTGCGAGACATTTGCAGGGTGGAAGGCAATATCAATAGCCTAAAATATCAAGAAGTATTAGCTACCTATTACATTCCCAACCATAAAAGGGGTCAGATTTTGCAGCAGGATGGTGCTCCATCGCATACTTCTATCTCTACATCAAAGTTTTCTCAAGGCGAAGAAGTGCTCCAGGACTGGCCAGCCCAGTCACCAGACATGAACACCATTGAGCATGTCTGGGGTAGAATGAAAGAGGAAGCATGGAAGGCAAAACCAAAGAATCTTGATGAACTCTGGGAGGCATGTAAGACGCTTTCTTTGCTATTCCTGATGACTTCATGAACAAATTGTATGAATCATTGTCGAACCGCATGGATGCAGTCCTTCAAGCTCATGGAAGTCATACAAGATATTAAATATGGATCTCACAGCACCTCTATTTAATTCACTGACGTTATGCAACATATTTTTGTATTTGAAGTAAATTATTTGTTCAATTTTCTGTAGGCGACAAAACTTTTGTCTTGCCAAAATCTGACCTTTCTGTGTTCATTAAATGATCAATCTTTCTTCAGTGAAGCAAATTTATTTTAGTATATTGAGCATAATTTGGGAGGGTTTTAGCTTTCATTTCTAAAACCAATCGATTAATTTAAAGTCAGGTTATAAGCTTTTGTTTCTACAAAATGGATAAGCGACAAGACTTTTGTCAGGGACTGTAGGACATCACAAGGTGGAACAGAGCATTTTGAGTTTTTGGAGATGTAGACAGACTATGTAGCAGTAATAATGTGTGAATGAAACAAAACACAACTGCAGATAAGTTTTTAAGGACGTAACAACAATATAAGACCTTTAACATAAAAAACTCATGAAGTCGTTCATTGAAAATGCTTTGCAGTGGTCCAAAGTTATTCCTCACTTATCTTATACATTCCACGCATCCTAATTATTAACTACAATGAGAATTTCACAACTTTCAAAAGCCAGTGCAAAGTTCTGCTCTCACTGTAATGCTAACAGCAACTACCCTGCTAACAGTGCACATCCTGATAAACAATAAAATGTTTTATAACAACATGCAGACAGTAGACAGCTGACTTACCGTGACCTCAAGAGCTGTTTATACAATATATCTGTACTGAGACAAGAGAAATTTTGCTCAAATACATGGGAAAAGAATGGTTACAGGGCTTTTAAATAACAAATCAGAGCTACATTTGAATACAGAAAGATGTCACAGCTGGAGAAATTGTATTTTATTGGATTTCTTCATATTTTGTCTTTTACAGTTCTCAGTTCTGTGAATTTGTTGTTTTCATTCATTTTCAATATATCTCCCACCTCTATATTCACATTTAAGTAGAAGAAAAACTGTTTTAAATAATATTGTGTCAAACTTTGAACTTGTCACAGCTATAACTATATAGACAGACATAACTGCTGGACCTAGGAATAAAATATGAACGAGTGCCATCATTCCACTACCACAATTAGAGGCTTACTAGAAGGGCTAAACTGTGTAAAGGATTACATAGAGGGCTTCTATGGTCTTCACATTTAATAGGCCCCAGCTTTATTGCCATATAGGGTATTCTTATTCATGAACAACAAACAGAAAACCTATTAGTACAACGGAGACTGAGACGCTTGTTTGAACAGATGTGCATTGATTTTTCATTTCATCTGGATCATTACGGTCCATATGATTTTGTAATGGGCATTTCTGGACTTGAATGGTCATTTCACAATTCATCGACTTGTGTTCCTGTGAGATCGACTACTCTGAAAAATAAAAACTCTTTTCAATTAAACTGACATGCTGTATCTATCCACACCACAGAAACTAGTAGTTCACATGCTTGCTTCCTATTGATTTGTGGCTCAAAAAACCCATCTCTATGCCTGTGTAGAGAAAAATTTTAAATGTTCAATTTCCGTTTTTCCTTTTAGCGCGTGTTGCTGTTGGACACATCCTGTGATAAGTAGCTTGTCTAGCAGCACTTCACTTGGCTAATTAACTGGAGGAACCCCCAATGGACGCTTCCATTCACTTTAATTATTCTCTGCTGAGCACTTTGGGTTAGGCCTAATGAAAAACTATTAATACATATGGATTGAAAAAACTACAGAGCTACAGAATTATTTCAAGATAACTGAATACAACAACAACATCTCCTATAGACTGTACTTGTAGTTGTGCCCCGGTGTTGTAAAACTGAAACATTAAAATATCAAAATGTTAACAATTTTGTCTGTTTATGTTGAGAAGTGTATGTAGATCTGTCACAATAAAAAAAAATGTAATCATGATATACTGCTACAGGGAAATACTGAAACTACTTTATGCCCCTGACACAAAACAGGTTTATCGAAGTAAACCACTTTTCAGACCAATGAACCTTTTTAAACCAAGTGCCTGAGCTGCAATAAATAAATAGCAGAATGAACTAATAATTAGCCATAAAGGTTATTTATTCTACATCTACAGCTTCAATCTTATCATAGTATGGAAATATAGCTAAAATCTCCCCATCATACACATGATAATTATTGAGACCCAAAAATTATTGTTATTATAAGTAGATATAGTAATATAATTATTGTGACAGGCCTAAGTGTGTGTAAGTGTGCTTGTGTGTGTGTGTGTCTGTGTGTGTGTGCGTGTGTGTGCATGTGTGTCCAAGCCCCATTTACAGTAAGTGCATATAAGTGTGAGGTGCACTATTGTCTGTAAATACCAGGAGGTCATGGCTGGGGCGTCTCCATCCACAATAGTTTTATCACAATTGTACAGCAAATGGAAAGGTCAGAGAAGCGGGAGCTTTATAAACCCTTTGTATATTCCTCAGAGCAGTTAAAGTCTAAGCGCTGTGAAATGCATGGCAAGTGGAGAACACAGCAGACGCCACGGCACATACCTGTGTTTACATTAGTGCCACATTAGCGCTGAGTAGTTGGTGGAAAAAGGAGAAGATACACAGTGGCCTGCCAGTGACTCTTAACTCATGCCACAAGTCTAAACACACATGGACAGAGCATTTTTCCTGAATGCTGTGAGCTTTTTATGGAGAGGAGAGAGTTGTACAGCACAGTGTTGCCCAAATACAGTGTGGGGGGTGTGGGAGCGATGGATTATGTTGTACATGGGATTATTGGATTAATACATCGACAGAGATCAGAAAGTGTCCACTGTGCAGAGGGAGTATGAACTCAGCAAGAATCAGATCAGCCAGCTGCCAGTGCCAACACACAGGAGAGCTCAACCTGAACATAGCAGCACAATATGGTCACATAATATGGTCTGTGGAATGAATTATACTATAATGTTCATTTTGCTTTGTATATTGTGACATGTGCTTATATTAGTCATTGACTAACCTTTGGCCAATTGTTGTGCAAGATCCAACCACAAGATTCCTATGCATAGAAAACCATACAGCTATTAAAATCAAACATTATTTGCTCACAACCCAGTGCTATCCAGTCAATAAGATCTGAACCTTTTCTCTATCAAATAATGACACTGATATTGTCCATTGCTTTCATTATTCATCATTATCACAGACCAGGAGCTATTACAGTTTACTGCATTTTACTGTATAAATGCATCTCTACTTTGTTCCAAGTTTCTAAACCGGGCAGTGAATAAATATGGATCAGTCTTGTAATGTGTATAATAGTGAAAGCACAGTAGGTTGCCGGGCAACCATTCAAGGTCCTGATAGTCAGCTATGCTGAATGACTTTTGTCTTTATTCTACTTTTTATCTTATCTAACAAAAGGAGAGCCTGGCCTGTCAATATATTTTGGGGGTGTTTATTTATCATGTGGGAAGTTTCTTTACAATAGTGGGAAGATCTGCCTTATTTTTATGTAATAAAGTAAGATTTAGGTAAGATCTGAGGTGTTGATTTACTGGAATTATTCTGTTTTGTGTCAGTAGCATAAAGCAAATTCAACATTATTACTGTTTATTGCAGTATTTTTTGTAATATATCATGCTTCAAAATTACTTATCATGACAGCTCTACTACTATGCCATAGAGAATATTGATGTATTTCAGAAGTCCCCACACAAACAGCCTGTTGAATGATTCTGTGTTTACTGCACGCAGCAGTGCACAGTCATATTACATCTGTGCATCATTCATGTTAGTTTGAATGTGAAAAGCACTTGTGAAAAACACCAGCTTTCTGATGGTGACAAGTGAAAGGAAAACATGTCTGATGTATCTCACTCCCACACACCGCTGTCAGGCTTTGTCTGTGCACACGGCTCACTGATCCATAACATTGTGACAGCCTGCTCCACGTACGCAAAGAACGCAAGCTATTAAAGTCACAAGGACCGCCTAATGCACTTCTCAAGCAAGGAGGTCCTAGACATGATGCGTCTATGGCAGTCAAAACATATCTAGTAACACAAAATTTGATACTATTAATGCTGGTTTTGACAATTTTGAGTATTTAGAATTCACATGCATTTAGGAGGCATGTGCATAGCTTTAGAACTGCTGTTTCAGATGACAAAGTCAAGTCACTCTGGCCTCAAAGAGATATATAGCTATGTAAATCTTTTTTCCTTGCTCGCTATTGATAAAGTTTTTACAATTTTTACTTTTTTTCCCCTCAAACAAATTTTAGTTGTTGTTTTTTTTACATGAAATAAAAATAATGACCTGATCATTTTTCATACATTTTCATTTTATTAACATTAATTACTATTTACAGTTATTGTGTCGGTAGATCATTTAGAGGGCTTTTATACTCTTCATTTTTAATAGGTCCCTGCTTTATTGCACTACTGTGTATTCTTACTCATGCTCAGAACAAACAGAAAGCCCATTAGTAAAACAAAGGCTGTGACGGTTGTTTGAACAGATGCGCATTGAGCCTCCATTTTATCCTGATTATGCACGATTTGATTTAGTAATGAGCAATTTTGGCCTTTCATTTCACAACTCATCAGACTGTTCTACCATAAGATCAACCATTCTGAAAACAAAGCCTCTTTTCAATTAAAATAACATATCTATACACACCACCTAACAACAGTTATTGCAAAAACAAGCCACAACACATTTGCTATCATCACTCGCTTCCTATTGATACTTTGCAGCTGATGTCATCAACATTCCCTGGGTGTGTGCTAACTATAGGCACTGCCCTGTCTGAAGCTTTGTTGCTCAAAACAAAGCTCAGATTAAAGTATATTTTAACACAATCTTACCAGAAAGAGTTAATTTAGATGGGACTACAACAGGTGAGCCGATTTGTGCTAAACACACTCTTAAACATATAAGTACAGTCACAAGATAGGACCATGAACACTACTGATCACAGGCTCCTAAAAATGTGTGGTTTAATTCAATTTTATGTTGTTTTTTTCCCCTAGAGTTTTCAGACTATCTAAAAACTTGTTTGTTAATGTTTGCTAATGTGTGCACTATGGCAACTGCTGGAATTTCTTTATAGAAAATACATACAGAAACCCCCAGCCTGATGTTACTGCAAAGTATCAATTAATTGTAGCTCTGAAAAAAACAACTCTCTTCCTGTGTAGAGTAAAAAAACGAAAGCTTCAAACTAACTATTACAGCGAGTCATCTTATAACCCAATTACCACATCTCAAAGCATTTTTAGCTCACTGGCCACTCGGCTGCGGATAGGGCTATTTACCGCTCAAATTGGCAGAGTGGAGGTTGCTCAGTGGGCAGCGATGTCCTAAATGCTAATGAACACCAACTTTCCCCTGGCGTTAATTAGCCCCAGTTTTGCTCCTCTTTCCCAAACACATAAAGGCTATTAGGCAGACTAAAATAAATGAGCAAACTGTTACGCTATCAGCCAGAAGCAAATTAAAACACACTTTATAATGAATGAAAGCTGTTCCTCTTGATGTGGTTGTGATACTGTAACACTTGATCTGTGGACATATTGCTCCCTCTAGTGGCTAAACTGGCAATGTACAGCACATGCCATGGCTTAGAAATAAAAGGCAGCAGTTATTCTTGGTGTATTACTAACCAAGTTGCAGTGAGGTCTCCGTGTGGTAGTATCCATCCTGTTGCTTCTTTTTCAACATGGAACAAAGATCAACACTCTCAACTGGCTGGTCTCCAAAAAATCTGCAACAATATAAGATACTCACGCACTGAACATAAAAATATAAATAAAAAAAATTTATTACAAAAATGAGCTTACCTTTCTGAGTAGTCAGAGTAAAGTGATGGGTCCACACGTTTAATGCCCTATAAAAGAGAGTAACACTTTTATCTACTATACATGAAACTCAGATTTTTGGGGAAAAATTATTAATTTCTCATACAAAAGTGCACTATGTATGTTTTCTGCTAGGGGGCAGAAAACATACATAATGTCTCGTCTCTCAACAGATCTCAACTGGATAGGTTTAATGCAATACTGTGGAACATTCAAGGTAAACAATAACATCTCCATGGAAACAAGCAGGTGATGAACCCTCCACAAGGAAAGTCACATAGTTGTGCTTGTACAAAGAACCCTGAAGTATCTTATCTTCTATTTAATCTTAAAAACAAGATGGCACAACAAGCTACATTGTTTTTGACTGTAATAAGCATTGTACTCAAAGTAGTATGTTCAGTTTCTGTTTTGATGAGAAAACAACAATACAATAGACAGACAATAGACAATTAAATTATTTTATTGCACTATAAAAATTTCTCCATCCACTTTAAAACTGACCTCTATGCTCTTGCTTTCTCCATTCCACCACAAAATGAATGCAACAGTTGCCCTTTCGCCTGTTGTCATAAACTATCAAACAATACACTCCTAGTGCCTTGACATTTTTAAATGGAGAATGTCGTCAGCAGCACATTGGTTTTTTTTTAATAACTAATAGATTTGCACACGTACTGTCTAGACGTGATAAATCCATTTTTCACATTTGTGTCTTTTTGTGTCTTATCTGACAGCAGGCGGCAGAGGACAGAGACAGGAAAGAAAGATGGGGGCGACGTGTTCCAGAAGGTCACCAGCAGAGCACCCCAGGGAAGTTAAAATAGACTGACTGGAAAGTGTACTATAAGTAAAGTTATCATATAAAGGTAGTACTGAGACAAGGATACTAATTTTAAGTATCAATAATACAATAAAAAATAAATCATATTATAGGACAAGAACCTTTCTTGATCTATACCAGAAGAGAACTATAGTGTAAGACGGTGGAATATTATAGAAACCAGGGCTGTAGTCGACTAAAATAAATTCTTTGTTGAGTAAAAAACATGCCCTGCTGATTGATTAGTCGACTAAAGGGAAAAGTGGCATAAAAATAGTTAAAACTTTTCAGTTCAAGACCTGACCATGTGTCACAATCTCATGCAAACAGCTCTCACAAGACTACAACCACACTGTTTATACAGATGTACTTGGTATTTACATGTAAACTGCAAATTAAACTCATGATTCACTCCCAAATCTTAAGTTAACTCATTCCACTCTTGTGCTGTCACATATACATCTTGACATTCTACATAAAATAATCAGTTAGCTAATAAAAATTTTGGTCAACTAACATATTGCTGACAGTTTAATCAACTTAGGGTGGACTCACACTAGTACTTTAGAACTGTGACCAAGCATGGATCGGCCCTAAAGCGCGGTACATTTGTCCAGTGTGAGCACAATCGAACCGTGCCATTGGGACTTTACCCCGGTTGGAGGAGGTGGACCAAAGCAAGGCACGGTTGGTAATGTACGCACATACGCACAACTTTACTATACAAGCCCGGCTGTCCTCACTCCTCCTCCTGTCCTTGTCTCCGTCTGTCTTTACTCTTCCGCGCTGCTATTATATCCATGACCAGACAGAGGAGTGTGTAGCACAGCAGGACTCATATCTGACTCACTATTTAATAGATATTTCATGCCACTGGACTTATTTTCTCCGCTAAAAGCGTTAGCTCTGCTACGCGACACGTAAACAAACAGCGCCGTGTGCTGACGTCATCAGCTGTGGCCCGGTTTGGTTGTGCAAGTGTGAGTGTGGGCCATAGAATTCTACGCAATTGTGCTTGAGTATGGCACGGTTCTAAAGTCCTAGTGTGAATGTGCCCTAAATGACAAAAGTCTCTAATAGAAAGTAATGTTATCTTGGGTTAAAATCACAGTGTACTGTTTAAAAAGGAGTGTTTTGTTATCATTGTGATATTGAAACCAGTATTAAGCCTTTTTCTTGATTATTAATATCAAATCTGAAATCTGAGTATGGTGAGAACACTAACTGCAAGTGTGTGAATGTGTGCGTGTGGGGGGTGACGGGGGTGGGGTTACCTGTGCTCTGATTTGAGGTGCACGGGACAGCTTCATAATGGTGAGGTGAGGATCGAACCCACGGCAGTCTCCCTCAAGAAGACCCTGCTCCTCAAAACGACTGCGTAACAACTCTAGAACGCAAAACATTAGAGTATAGAGAATTAACATTTTCATTGAAAAAATATCTGTCATTTCTGAAATAAAACAAAATTTAAATGACTCCTCAGGGCATACATTTAATTAGGTAAAACCAAGGTGGACTGATCAAAAGAGGCTTGTACAGTGAATCAGTTGATTATTAATATGGTGATTTTTTTATGCCAGAACTGAAATGAAAAATCCACCAACTGCAACTGATTGATTTTGACTGACCAATTAGAATTGGTAATATCAAAAAGCACTCATCAAGAACAGTTAATCAAGTCTAGTGGGAATCATAAGGAATTGAATATTGAACAGGTAACTCATATTGAAATGATGAATAACCTTGGATCTCAATACAACGGTGAAGCTGCTTTAAAAAAAAAAAAAATTAAAATCCACTCAAGTTGAACTGGAGCATTATTTCTCTTATTCAATCATAAAAAAGACAAAGTAGAGCTATGCAATTAATCACATTTTAATTGAATTGGGATGTTAGACTTAGACAAACTTTATTGATCCACAAGGGAAATTATTTGGACACAGTAGCTCACCAAACCATTTTTCTATTCTATTCTAACCATCCAACCATTTCTATTCGTAAATGATCCGCTCGGGTCCTCTGTCAGAGTTCAGACTTTGGAGGAATGAATGTAACTTTTGTGTATTAAATGGCAGAGATTAAAAGTCTGTCTTTCTTATGTTCAGGGAATTAATGTTAAAACCATTTTCATTTGTATTTATAAGGCAACATAAAAGTCACTGAAAATCCTTACAAGGGGAAAAAGATCACATTTTTGCCATATCACTCAGCCCTGAAGCAAAGTAAATGGGGGAAGGCACGTGGAAGTCTATGGACAGATGTGATTAATGGCTGTTAAGTCCTGCACATGTACAGTAAAGGGCTACAACACACTGATAGCGAGCAAGCCACCACACACGCACAAACTCCAACACACATAAGCCAATGAGCATTACATGGAAAACCACAGTGATATTTTTAGTACCAAAGAGAAAGGTTAGAAAAAAATCAATAACAATGGAGAAGGAGAGGAGACTCAGACTTATTAGAGCCTTATCCTGACTTTGCCCCTAAGACCACAACAGAAATGGAAACTTTCTATTCCCCAGTACTGTCTCAACTATCACAACAAACTTTTGGATCTAAGAGGGGAAATTGCAATTTAGATTCAGAAGTTGTACTGAGCATCAAACAGCACATCTTTACTTTGTGATATCACCAGTAATTAGGTAGAAATATGGGCCCTGTAGCTGTCGACTTATAGTTTATTACATTTCACATTAATTCAGGCTCTGAGATAAAACAACATTTGGAATTTGTTTAGCTGTCAAACAAATGCCAAATATGAGAATCTGAATATTTAAAAACACTGTAGCTTTAGACGAGAAAATCCAAATTAGTGTCAAATCAAAACAGGCTGCTGACAATAATGTAGAGAAATGTTTTATGCTTCCTGAACACCAAGAAATCGGTTAGTTCTGTACAAGAATGGCAGATTGTAAATATCTTAATTTGGCTGACGGTGGCAACTGGCAAGGGGGAAATAAGGTATTAGGTAAATGTGCTTATTTTTCAGAGCATTATTGTGAAAGTAATGAGGGCAAATCCTCTTAAAAATGTGGGTTTAATGTTTTTAGCCAAAGGCACAAAATGCAAAAACATGCAAATCTGTAGTGCATAAAACAAAGGTCTAATGTTTTTTTTTTATATCTCACAAAGCAAATGGTAGAAATAAAACACTCAAATAGACATTATTTGGCAAAATCCACTTGTACTAAAGGCATTTTAACAGCGCCAAATGTTCTTTAATATGGCCTGTTTTTTAAAAAAGTGACCTATTTCAGCTGGCTCAAGGACAGATGTGAGGATAAGTCCACATTTAAACTTCAAAAAGTGAAAGGTAATAACAGTAAAAGCCATATAAAAGCACAAAATCATCTTCACAGTCTCCTAAAGCTATCTAATCTAGTGAAAGCTTGCCAGATAAAAGCATGTACCCTCTACTATAAGAATCATGTCCTTAGTAATGTCTCCTCAGATGACCCCTAGGTTGACCCCACCATCTTCCAGGATACCACAAGAGCCCAATTACATTATCATCTCTTATTCATCATTAAAAACATGCACTCACAAGGATGAAGCAAAAATCATATTAAATTAACTAAAGGGAAAAAACAAGTTACTAACCTGCCAAGCTTTCCAGTGTATGTCTGTGTTCTCCAGGGGCCAGCCCAATAAACACCACCTCCTTCCTGAAATGACCGATGCCGGAGAATGGCAGCACCAAGCCCCGCCCACCCAGCAGCTCGGCCAATGAGGGCTCTACCGCGGCCAGCACGGTCGCCGCCCTAAAAGGAAGTATACACATGAATAATATGCCCAATGCACTGTGCTCATCCCTGCACATTATAATCCTGACTTCCTTCGCTCTCATATTACATAACAAGAGCATCGAGTGATTAGTGATGGCAAAATCTTCTGCTTGATGTAGATTAAGTATTATGTATCAGCACATCGGACATGTTCCACAGATTATCCAGATGAGTCGATATAACTGAATGATACCAGGGATTTAGGAAAGTATAATTTTCTATTCATGAGTCAATACATACATCTGGGTATTACAGTGCTCTTCCTTTAAGATGTACAGAACCATGCAGAAGGCAAGGATTGATTTTCCTAACTTTTAACCTTTGTCAGAAACCTAGGCGTGCCATGATAATTACTATATTGATTTATCCTTCAATACATGAAAGCTTGGGATCAATATTTATTGCACGCACATTTTCTTTGCACTAGTGGAGAATTTTGGGTTATTTTTTGGCTATAGGATAAGGATTAAGCCGTAAAAAGGTTGAATTAATAACTAAGATTCTTTACAGATGCAAACTAAGAACTAAAGTATTTCATTTTGCTCCTAATTTATTACAACTCTTCATTTTTAACAATATTGTGGATTTAAAAAGATATATATTATTTACTTCAGCAATATATCACATTTCAAATTTTGTTATTGTGACAGGATTTGCATCTGGGCAGAGACAGTACTTTGCTCTTGATTTGAGATGTAGAAGACCATGCAGAAGGCAAAGATTAAATTTTCTTGCTTCTAACTTTTGTCAGAAACCTATTATTCAGAAAACGCTATCACACAATAGTACAGACACATAGCCCAGACCTAGACTAAATGATCTTGTTGAGTGCTTTTGATACAATATATTAAACAATGGTTATGAGTTTGACATGCAAATTACTTCCGTTTCTTTGATTTGCTTTTCACAATAGTAGGCAATTTCACAATATGTACGTTTAGAACCCTGGTGTGGAAAACAATTGAGTGTATTTATTGCTTTCACTGTTTGATGCAAGCTGCAATACAAGTAAATTGCACCCTCAAGAGCTTCTATGAAAGAGGATAAACAGCTTCAGCTTGATTAGGGTAATTAGTGACTGTGGATTTGCATACCGTAGCACAAACACAAAACTTTGCTTGAATAGTTTTTCAACATAATTTGAACTGCAGCTATCACAACATCAATTGAGGTATTCTTAATAGTACGGTTAATGGCGTAATTGTAGGTGTGAACTTACAGGTCGACTTGCTCCTGGTTGGCGAGATGAGTGACTAATAATGTTATGTGTAGAGAGGGGATTGGGATCATGGCTTTGGACAGTTTGGGCTCTTGCTGTAGAACTGCCTGTTGGACCTCTGCCACTGCAGAGCTTATCTGTCATTAAAAAAAACCATGAGGTTCATCACATGTTAAAAGATTTGTGCTTCTTAAAGGGCCTATATTACGCAATACTGCCTCCTGTGAGCTTTAAGCCATGGTCTAATGCCATTACCGCCTCAAAAACATATCTGTAGTTGTGTTTTGTTTCATTCACACATGTCTGAGCAACCCTTTATTATTAGTCTGTCTACATTGCCAATGCTCAAAATGCTCTTGTTATGAAGCCGTAGGTTTCAAGTTAACAGCTAACTTTTAGTTCAGATTGGCAATTCCAAGGTTGAAATTATCCAAATGATTCTAGTGAAGGTGTATGGAGTTTAAAAACACAGTGGAGTATTTCTTGTATTACCAAATTACATCACAAGGTTGAACAGTGTTTTCTGTTTTAGAGAAAAAAACTCAGCCCAAATATGCAGGGTTTGTGTGTTAAACGTGTGAATGAAACAAAGCACAATTCCAGCTTGTGAGGAAGAAACAACATTATAACACGGATCAGATGTTAGCGTAACAGTAGAGGCCCTTTAACTAAAGTACTTCTTACACAGGAGAGAAAAAGGCATTATGTACAGAGAAAAACACATGATCGATAGATAGCGAGTTAAAGAAATCAATGACCGATGAAAGAACCCAGTGGTCAATGTACATTAGGCTTTTGCCAGCCTCCAGCATCAGGTAATGGAAAATCAAGTGTTCCTTCCGTAAAATGTTTCTCTTTAAGTACAGAACTAACTGTGACCTAAAATCAATCTCTGAACAGATCAATGTCTTCAAGTTAATTAATTTAAAACACTATCTTCTTATGCTTAGTGCTCCTAGATAAAAAAATTAAAATAAATTAGCTGAACATAATTGGCCTCCTCTATTCAAGAACATTTACATGAATCAATAGATCATAAACTGTCTATCCAATTAAAAGTGTTTTCTGGTTGATAAATACTTTTTGCCACTGATGTGGTGTTTTTTGTTTTTTTTTTACTTGACTTTTTCAATTGTGACACGTGTTATACTGCAGTCTATAATATTTAATGGAGATGAAGGGACAGTCATTTCTTATAACGCAATAAGCTCCTCATATTCTACAATCAAAAAGTCAACCAACTCTCACCTGTGGGTTAGTGATGCGGATGGAGACGAAGTAGTTTGGTCTTTTACTTTCCTTCTTTTTCTTCTTTTTGCCTGCGTCTTCTTCACTGTCTGCTCGCCCTCCAATTTCTCCCCTCTTTCTTTTCTTTAGTTTGTCATTTGTGTTTGTAACTGAAATTTAAAATAAGTTTTACATATTAATAATCTTTTACGGTTTACTAGAGTTAACCCTATAAATAAGAAACAGAAACCTACATCCCAATTCCTTCCATGAGGTTGGGCTTGTCAAAGCAAATGGAAGCTCAGACATAAGAGTGTCCAGCGGTTCATCTGATTTCATACTTTTCTTTAGTTTTTTCTTTTCCCTCCACATCTTCCTTCTAGTCTTCTTATCCTTCAGACCTGATGAAAACAAAACATATCAACAGCACATATTTAGCAATTCAGATAATGTCTGAGACCCTCCTCCATGACTGAAATACCTTTAGTTTGACATTTGACATTGACAGCTGCTTCCCCTCCACCATCATCATCCTCCTCCTTTGTGGGAATTGCTGAGATGTCCTTACTTGCTGTGACATTTGCGGGTAACATGCCTAACATAAATGGGTAAGTCTGTGAATAAATGAACAAAATTAGCATTAATAATATTTATATAAGTACGCATATGCAGATTTGACCTTGCATCTGTTCGGACTGCACAATTTTGGGAGAGAAATCAAATTGAAACTGCGATTAAATCTGCGACGTAAGTTTAAAAAGAAGAATTCTGAGTGCATATTGTGAACAACTCATGTGAGAGAAGACCGAAATATGAATTGTTAAACTAATACAAGATAAAGACTGTTTTAATCTACAGGAACAACCACATTTTCTTATGAAAGCAAAAATACAGGGCATTTTGTCCTTTGTATGAGTTAGTAATATTATCTAAAAGTGCAACCTGAAAAGCGTCAACTAATTTCAATTTCGATTCGACTGCAATATATTGTGCAGTCCTACTATGTGTGGATTTTTGCTGCACAAAAGCGTAAGTAATAGTTTTAAAACATACCTCCAGTCCAAACCGGTGAGTTGTCACGTTACTCTCAGAGGCTGTATTGCACCAAATCGTAGTAAAACGGTGCAACTTCAAATATTCTTGTATACTATTGAGTCTTTTAAACTTCTGAAAATGTTTTAAATACGTCCAGCTACGGCTCCAAAAGACGCGACAAACTAGCATGACACCAGCACTAGCTCAGAGCTGCAAAAGTCTTCACACACCCATAGCAGTTGTGATAAAAATCTGCAGCCAGTGTTGTCACCTGTTGGAATGAATCAACACTTCAGCAAATCTAGGGAGCTTGTTAGCAGTTAGCTCCGGATTAGCGGTCTTGACTCGTGACTGGTTATGTAAACTCTAAAACAATCCCAAAATATACTGTTGACAGTAAATATATGGATACATTCCTTCAGATTACAACATATGGTTGGAGCAGCTGAAAAAGGAGCCTCGTGTTTGTAAACAATCCCATACTTCCGGTTTCTACATCGTCTGTTTTATCATTTGCGGTGGTGAAGAAGCAATACTGCCACCTGCCGAACAGTGGCGATAGCAGCTCATTTTAATCCTTCGCCACGTGAAAAAAATAATCCTCTAGCAGGAAACAAGAACACGCATCTGCATAGGAGAGAAGCGGCTGCAAAATGTATCGAGTGTAATTTTTTTCTCTAAACCACATTTTAGGTCACCTTTAAATGCACCTTTTGCATTTTTGAGGAGAAAAATTGCCCTGTAGCCTACTATTTATGCCTTGGTATTTTTCCTTGTTGTTTATGTATTAAGATGTATAACAAGAAAATAGTCTATAGAACTGAAAAACAAAACATTAAAGAATGTCTTGGAGATTTGTTATTATTTTTCCTTTATTTACAACGCAGCAAGATAACAGTAGATGATCTGATACAAAAGGACAGAATAGCAGGCTGCAGTCAAATGCTTTTGATTATAAAGCTGATGATTGTTCATAGAAAGCACATTGATTTTCAGTAAGTCATAAATGTAGAGAAATGCTCTTCTAACATGACTGTATCCAAAGTATGCATGCACGTTAAGAAAAAAGATAATTACAAGCTGAAACCAACATCGCAAGGCCATTCATATCTGCATGGAATATTTTATGATGGAGACACTAAAAAGTATTTGCAGTCTTTGTAATGAATGACCGCAGTTTAACTTTAATTTTGTCTATGGCCTCAACATTTTGTGGGCATGGCAGTAAACCAGGTACAGTCTCATGAAAGAAAACACTGACTATCAGCACTACATTGTCATGAAGCACATGTACTGCTGAAGTATGGTTGTGTCCAGTATGGCTGTGGTGCATCATCACAAGAATGACTGGTTTGTTATCTGAAAACATGAAAAAAATACCTTGAATCAGACATTATTGGTGGGTTATGTGATGCGAAGTGGTCTGCTGCTATATCAAACTATTAAACATATGAAATATAATTTTCCTTTTTCTTATTAAATATATTTTCAGGAGTATACCTTTTGGTCTTTCACTTGATTTGTTCACCATATGTATGAATCAAAACTATGGAGTTCATTATCTGACAAAGTAAAACATCAACAAATTTCTGGGATGGTATGTATTTAATTGTTTCATTACTTCATTGTAAATAGAAAGGTGTCACTCAAGATGAAGAAAGCACTTCAACTTCTCTATCTCCTGGTGGTTTGGTTTGTCAGTAACATGATTTGTTTCCTGTTTTCAGAGATTTTTTTTTGTATGTCTGGCAACAGTCCTCATTCGAAACCCATTTAATACAAATGTGGGGCAGCTGGAATTAATATGTTTAAATGCAGATTTTTATTGTAATGCAGTTCTTAGTTCCTTAGTCAGTAAGTTGTGTAAAGTAAATGATCAGGTTCAACATTTGTACATGTGCCTTTTGGACATATCAACAGAATGTAATCAATTATAATCAATCTTGGAGTATGGCATCATCAATATATGAAAGACTTGTACCTTGAATGGGCTGCAGGGCTGTCTCTACATCTGTCCCCACCCGAGAGACAACTGGGCAGAAGACTATGGTGATCTGGCTGTCCTCATTGCGTATGGCTTCTTGGAGATGCAGACTTTGTGGGTAAGTACCTTTTATCTTTTCCAATACGTCCAAGTGTCTGTTCAGGGTGTTACCACTGACACTCACTCTGTATCTGAGAGTGGCTAAAAGACAAGAAAAGGGCATCAGAGTCTGGCCCATAATTTACTCACTGGAGCTTTAGAAATTAAGTACACCTTGTAGTTTTGGTTTTGTAGCTTGTGGCATGAAATTACATTGACACTGATTAGGCATGGATGGAGCTGCAATAGAAAGAGAAACCACATTCATCACGAGTTCACTTCTTTTTCTGTTAAGAAAAGCTTACCTTGTTCTTTTTGTAAATGCAAGTTATGCTCAAAGTGATTGGTGTTAACACTGGAAGGCGCAGCAGGAACGTGCTTTACTGAAGCCAGTAAAGTTTGGTCTGTCAAGTTTTTCAAATTGAAAGTATTTTCATTTTTTGCATCTGCTTGAAACTTTCTTTTATACCAACCTTTATTGGGTTCAGTGTCCTCTCTTTGACTGTGCCCTCTTTGACTGAATTTTTCCAATAGATCAATATGGGCATCAAGAAACTCCTGAACATGAGTTACTTCACTTTTTAACGCTTTAAGCATCTGTAGATAGTCATGAAGCGCCCCGCTGCTGGTGAAAGCATCTGTAAGGCAAAATATTAAAGGTCCTATATTATGCAAAACTGACTTGTGATCTTTAAGCCTTGTCTCATCAAAACATATCTGGAGTTGTGTTTTGTTTCTTTCACACATGTTTGAGTAATCCTGGATTATTAGACTGTTTGCATTCCCCAACATCAAAATGCTCTGTTCCACCTTGTGATCATGTCATGAAGAGGTAGTTTGCAAGTTAACAGCTACCTTTTATCTTTTGTTCAATAGAGATTGGCAATTCCAGGATTGAAATAATCCAAATACTTCAAGTGAAGGTCTATGGAGTTTAAAAACACAGTGGAGCACTTCCTGTATTACCACATAACACAGTCTTGAGAGAAGAGCCTCATTATGAAGGATTTGTGTGTTAGACATGTGTGAATGAAACAAAACACAACTCCCGGTATTTTTGTGATGAGCGAACAACATTATAACATAGATCGAGATAGAGAATAGCGTAAGTACTGGATGACAAATAACTTAATTATGTAGGAAGTACAATATTGAACAAAGTACCTATCTGGAAATCATCTGGAATAAAACCCTTGAGTTCATTTAGAACAGCCTGGACTGGACGCTGGAAAACAAATGACAATATAGTAAATTATATGTTGTTTAAACGTTATAATTACGGGCATGTTTCCTAACCTTTTTGTGTATAGTTTCATAGATTTTCTTCCTTATTCTGAAATTTGAAATCCCAGGGAGGAGTTCTTGCAGGTCGTTTTGTGTGAGTGACCGAATGTCTTGGTCAGAGCGACAATCCGCTTCTGTAATAGCCAAAATGTCCACAGAGCATTCCCATTAGTCTGTTTTACTTGGTTTTCTGCTTTATCAAATATTAAAGGTTAGAACGTACTCTCCAACTGCCAGGCTGCTTCCCTGCTGATCGCTCTGATGTCTTCCAGTAATGTCATGGTTTTACTGTAAATGAAATAAAATAGCTACACTCTTCGTTGCTGCGTGAAAAACAAGATAGAATATGATCTCACCTTTGAAAGAAAAAAAAAATGTATTGAAAGACGAATTTATACCGTGTTTCCTGAGCGTGCAGCTTTGCGTTTTCAATAAATGAAACTGAAAGTCCAAACCGGCTAAAACAATATGCTCCTGATTGGTAGTTTATTTGAGTGACAGACACTTGTCCCGCCCCCTTTTAAGAGGAAACGCAGTTCTGAAAACAAACAAAAACAAAACAAACACACAACAAAAAAAAAAAACAAAACAAAAAAAAAAAAAAAACAGCCTTTTCTTGTTTGTTCATCTAATTTGGATCACATGAAAGTAAATCATCATTTATCATCATTTACAAACCTGTCAAAAACAATTGGCTCATAGAGTTCAGCACATATGATATTATGGCCCTGATCTGTAGCAGACTGTAAAAAATAGTGCATATTTAAATAATATAAAAAAAAGGGTCTTTTCCCTCACCTAACTGTAAAACTGTTTACTCTATGCTGTGAAAAAGGAAGATCTCAGAAATAATTCAGGAAAAGAAATGCATTCTTTTATTACACTGGAAAATTAAATTTTTTATACTGGTCAAACAATACAATAATAAGTTATTTTTGCTTTAAATCACCACACTCTTATGAATCCTCCTTTTAATTTATATTATGTATTTACCATTAGTACAACAACATGAAGCAGTTAATCTGCCACTCTGCTGCTTCACTTAATTTCATTGCTGCATTTAAATGTACACTATGTAACTTTTCTTGTAAAGAGCGAAGAGCAAAAAGCAATATTATGTCTCTATTGACATAATATTTGCTTTGTCTGGAATGTTCTAAAGACAAGCAGGTAAATGTAGCCGGCCAAGTCACAGGTCAGATGATCTGTGTAGAGGAGTCAGACTGTACATTTACTAAACAGTAAAGATACCTGCAATAGAATAATGTATGTTAGCTACATTTAAGATCATACTGTGGAACATTCCAGGCAAAGCAAAAAATTCCAGGCAAAGCAAAAACATCTCCACGGTGACTGGGGGAATATGCTATTATTTGGTTAGTTCTTGTTCTTAGTTAGTTTGGGGAAATTCTTTTTGTGCTGTATTCAAATAACTTTGTTTTCATCTCAGTTATGGCGGCTTCATTCTGTGGGCAGTTCAGCAGACCATTGACAGTCTCGTGAAAGAAAACATTTACACCAAGATCATGAATGAATCTTGTTTTTGGGGCTGGGAGACTTGTTGGAGTATGCATGTGGTGCATCGCAACAACAATGAGGGGTTTCTCACCTAAAGAAATCGAAGAAAGATAAACAAATAAATGAAATGTGATTACTACTAATAATAACACATGGGTTGAAACAATTAGCTAAATTTAGCTTAAAGGTGCACTGTGTAACTGTTTGGTTGGTTATCCGTGACCTACTCTTTGCTCTCCCTGGAATGTTCCACAGTATGACATTAAACAACTCTACCTCACATTTATTCAATTACAGGTGGTTTTATACATGCATTTTGAATATGAGAGGGGTTGCCTCTCCACAGATCTAACCTGTAATTTGATTTGGTTGGGTCTCCAGATAGATAGAAAGGTTAAAAACTATACTGTGAAACATTCCAGACAAAGGAAAATATCGCCATGGAGAAAAGCATTTGACAGGCCCTCCAGCAGAAAAGTTACACAGTGCATCTTTAAAATTCTTACTTGAAATTTTACGCTGGGCTGCATCCAAATCTGTCCCCATGCGTGAGACCACTGGACAGAAGAGAAGGATGACCTGGCAGGACTCATCTGTGGCTTCATGCAGTTTCAGAAAAACATTGCATCTGGGAACTGGACCGTTTAACTTCTCTATGATGTCACGGTGTTTATCCAGTGTTTTACCACTGACCACCATCTTGTACCTGACAGTGGCTGAAATGCAAATGCAATGTTATCAAATAAGAATGAAAGTTGATACTTAATTTCAACTCATGCAGGATCACCACCTAATTGTGTCTTTGCAGTTGGGTTGGTATTAGTCTTTGTTTGTGCAGTTGTAGCAGAACCTGAAGATGCTGTGACAGAAGAGACATGAACAGGGGAATTTTATCTTTTGTTGTTTCATACAGATTTCTAACCTTGTCTTTGCAGGGATGGTGGCAACAAATGTGAAAGAAATGCGAAAGTGCCAGAATTGGAATTTTCTGAATTAGCAGAACTTGAACCTGGATAAGGAACATCACAGAATCTTACAGAAAATGCTATTAATACATCATCTCAAGAAATCAAATGTAATAATTAAAACTGTACATGTGGATATTGATTTACTGATTATGCTGTAACATGAGGGTACCTGAATTTGCAGTATTCGCATCTTCATTTGCTCTCACAGGAGGATTTTCTCTTTCTACCTTAATAAACCATGGGAACAAAAACAGAATTATAAAGCTACATGTGCCTGCAAAGTCAAATAGATTAAATACATTTGATTTGTAAATTTAGCATTGATAGAAAATACTACTAAAAAGTCAGGCTCAGACAATAGGCCTACATCACAAACACTGCATATGTATTACAATAAAGCAACATTTTGGTTTGTTTACCTTGTTATTTGGTTGTAAATTGCAAATATATTCATATATTTGCTTTCTCAATCTCAGATTATGTTTCCCAGGAAGTAGCTCCAGCAGGTCCTGTCTGTTGAGGGACTTTATGTCGGTGTCACTTATAAATCCTATACCTGATTTACACAAGTGGATGTTGTTAATCTCACTTCAGTTGTTTTATTATTTAGAAGAGCGTGGAACTTACTTTCCAGTTCTGATGCTGCATCTTCACTGATTTCCCTGATCTCCTCCAGGAGGTTTGTCATGATGGCCACCTGGTGAATAAAGTGTGAGCAGCTTCACTAACTTTTGAATGTTGTTCAATATATCTTTACTCACCACCTCAAAATCCTACGCGTACTTCCTTGTTTTCGAAGAAAATGAAAGTAAAAGACGCTTAGGCGCGGTGACGTGGACTCTCATATTCATTTATTTGAGTTGACACATTTAAATAAAAAATAAATTGATAAATTGTTTCCTATTTCATTTCAGTGTCAAACATGATCAAAATAAAAATATATAACCTTCCACAAAATATAGACACTTTTTTAACGTGTTCTTAATGTGTAGACGTTTACCATTAAGCTACCACCAGCAGAGGGCAGCCCTTTACAACTTTCTATGGCGCGTTTTAGTCATCTTCAAAATACAGTTGAAATGGCTATTGGTATTTTCCAAGCTGAGTCTGTGCCTTTTTTATTTATTTATTTATTTTATTATTTATTATTATTATTATTATTATTATTATTATTATTATTATTATTATTATTATTATTATTTCAGTCTCAGTTTTCTACAATTCTGCAATCAGCTACTGTTGCGTCAGGTAAGTGCTTACAGTCTTTCAGATTTGTCATGAATTACAGGTCAACTGTAAAATCTAAATCCATCTTATCAACTAATGTGAGAAAGAATAGTGTTTGTCAAGATAAGGGCAAAACTCTATTGCAGATTGTTTACAATGTTCAACAGCCATTTAAAGGTGCACTGTGCAACTTTTTTGGTGGAGGGTCACCAATCTCCTGATCCACACGGAGATGTTATTGCTATGCCTAGAATGTTCCACAGTATGGCATTAGACTGAAAGTATAACTATGGGCACAAGCAAGTGATTCAATCAGGTCAAGTTACACAGTAGAAAAGTTACATTGTGCACATTTAAGACCCCTGCTCCTCGTAAACACTTATTTAGAGACTGTCTTACTTTTTCATTGCTGCCACATGAATTGTATAAAAAGTGAGATTTACATAGAAAACCTGATATCATTCATTTTTAAGGTTAAGGTACACTTTATTGTCTCCATAGGAAAATTTGTCCTCTGCATTTGACCCATCCTTCAAGTACTGCACTGGTAGTTTAAATAGGCTGGGTCCTATATCTTGAAGAATACTCTGTTTAGATCAAAACCATTGACAGGTAAAGTGAGCTGCATGTCTGTTCATCTTGGCACGAGGTTGTTAGTGGGTGGCATCTTTTGGCTTCCAGAGAACATTTTGTCTTCAAAGTTGATCTGTAAGAAGAATGTTTGACTAGGGCCCTATTGTGAAGGCTTGTAGAGAGCAACGGAACAGAGCATCTCCAAAACAGCTCTTATGGGGTGTAGACACAACCTGTGACCATATCAGTATAGTCTAAATAAGAAGCAGAATTTAACTATAAAAAAGTGATCGATCTATGTTATGGTTGGGCTGAACAAACACTGCAATGAGATTTTTATTAACATGTTAATATCCAAGACAACGGACAAAAAAGACTGAAATATGACACACAATGTATTTGAGATTTGAGATTCTTTAATTACGTAAGTGTTGATTACTATTAGCTTAAACCCGCAGCTCTATGTTATGGTGTATTTGGTTGTTTTTCACCTGCCATAGACACTATAACAACACAATGCAGCATTGAATGGATTTTTCTCTTAAACCTTGGCTGTATTACGCTCCCACTCTTTTCAATGGTGAAGGGCACAAAATGGCTCCAGTCACGAGCAGCCATCCAATTGCCGTCCAGGTATTGGGAACCATGCCTCCTCCTCTTCATTCACTCTTGGCACACAGTGTATAGGTGAAGTGCTTTGCTTTCTCCATGTGAGTCTGTGTGCAGGGGGTTAGACAGCTTCTGGTGGCTTTGTCTAGTTGTCTTCATGTTTATTCTGCATAGAAGAAAGACAGGTTTGAGGGGCTGGCTGTGTAATCCAAAGTATCAGATATTTAAAGTGCACTGCAAGCTGTAATTATTATAGGATCATACAGAAAAGAAGTTACACTGTGTAGGGGAGTGTATTGTATTGTATTGTGTTGTATATTTTGCAGTGATATCACTCTGAGGGGACTGCATGTATGTCTATGGCAGAATGTTCAGAGATTAGCAAACATCACCTGATAAGTTTTTTTAGACTGCCTGAAAACTCAACTAAATTGTTTTAAACACATTTTCAAGAGCCTGTGATCAATACAAGCATGGTCCCGCTTAGGTGTTTGATTTTTAGCAAAAAAGATGAAACAAAAATAACTGAAAAATTGGTCGCTAATGAGCTAGGTAGCTTATTATTTGAGAGGGAGTTTTTTAACGGCATGAAATCAGCACACCCGTTGTGGTTTTCTGATAAATTATGATCAGATTGTATTAGTAAAGCTCAGATTAAAATGATTTGTGTAACAGAGAATCAGACAGGGCAGTACTTCTAGTTAGCTTCACCCACCCCCATGGGCCCAATAGGTTCAAAACTTTTTGGAGGACACCGCTTCATCTCTATGGCAGCGTCCCATTTCTGAACACTTGCTTTCTCAAGTTGACTGAGTGGAGAGAGCCCATTTGAAATAGCCTTTCCGCTTTTGCCCTCTTTTTCCTCTTTTGTTAATGAGAGCCTCAATAAGTGGGGTTTGCAACAAAGGAATTGAGGAGTCAAGGATTCAGTGAACAGACATGGGACGTGGCCTCAATAGTTTTCAGCAATACATTTTTGATTTGGACTTTTTGAGGCCCCTTCCAGCAGAGAATACATTTTAAATACCAACTTATATTTTATTTAACATTACAATATATAATCCCTGCATGTAGTCCAATACTTTCGTCCATATGACTATATGAGACTATAGGGCAGACCCACAGAGCATATCTTAAAGGACATTTGGCATTTTTACCCTACCAACATTATCATTTTATGTAGTCTTGATGAGATAAAAAAATATCAAATGAGAATTTTGTATTGGGTAAACCAGTAGAGCGCCCAGGTTTAGTTGAATGTAATATGATTTAGATTTTTTTTAACTTTTCTTTACAATGTGTATTAGCTGTTATATTCAAAGTTTAATAAAATATTGTCAAAATACAAATGATAATAGGAAGTATACACTAAAACTGTAGAAATTGTTGGCGATTTTACGCCTTTAAACCACTAAAAGGTGTACAAAATCCCTTTTACTCTTCTTTCTACCAGTACTTTAATGGTTTCAGATGATAGTAATCAGGTATGGGATGGATGCAGAAGCCCTGTAGCTGAAGTTTGAAGTACATTTTGGCTTTTTGCCCAGGTTCAAGTCCATGCCAAGTCTGCACTGTCTACATCAGCAACTCTGAGCTCTGAGCCAACGGTGGGCCCTGCACATGTTTTCATTGATGCTCTTATAATGCAATCACATACACTGTTCAGATACTATCACCGGGTTTGGACCGGTAAACAGAGCCCAGGCCCGTCACGGTAACTGCTATATCAACTTCAATATATGATAGATGGAACAATAATTTTTAAGGGTCAATATTTATCGTGGGTACTGTTTCTTTGCACTACTGGGAAATCTTTGGTTATTTTTTGGCTATATTGTGAGATCAGAGCTGTACATGGTTGAATTAATATTTTCTATGATTTGTTACAGATGAAAACTAACTACTGCTGTTTATTTATTGTAGCACATTGTTTTTTAATGATATTGTAGATTTAGAATTTTTTGGGGGGTTTAAATTTGCTCTCAGATTATAGCAGGGGTGTCAAACTCATTTTGGTCTGGGGGCCGTATCCAACCTACTTTGATCCCAAAGGGGCCGGATCAGAAAACTCATGTCATATAAACCCCAAAAATAACAATAAGTTCAAATATTTGTGCAGAGAAACACAAATCTATTATAGAAATCTTTTTTAATTGATGAACTCTTTCTTATTATAATATTATAATATTATGAACAACCTGAAACTTTAAGAAAAATTCAATTTCAGCATTTAAAATATTTTAGTAGAAAATCACCCAAGGGCCACATTAAAGGTCTTGGAGGGCCGGATCTGGCCCCCGGGCCTTATGTTTGACACCTGTGGATTATAGTGTCAGATAGATACAGTGTCAGAAGGTATCGCACTTCAAAATTTGTTATCATGACAGGCTTAACAAAGGCCCAATTTGCTGTAATGCTGCTACTGTAACTTTATGATTTCATATGAGGTTGTGCTCAGACTTAACTGACAGGAATAATGCGTCTTGACAAGTTGAACAGGTGAAATCATTATAAGTGAAGTGAAAGCGACAGCATCAGTGCATATGTTTTCTTTCAAATCTTCACCTTTTCAACTGTTCTTGTCAAATGTAAGTACGTAGCCTAATTAAAATGAAATCTTAAGTTAAAATCAAAAGTGTAAGAATAAAGTGAATGCAAGCCACATGCTGAGGAATACATGCACACCCACATGTATTCCTTAGCATACATGTGGGTGCATGCAAGGAATGGGCAAAAAATCGATGAAATCAATTAACCAAATTTGTTTGTTAAAAAAAAAAAACCTAAATATGATCACTAAATACAATCTTTTCAGTTCTAACCATTTTCAGTTGGCAGAACATTCTAGTGGAGAGAGGGGAGAAATCAAAAAATGAAATTAAAAAAATAAGTTTTAGAGAAAAGATATATATATTTTCAGGCCCTAGTGTATATAGTCACACATCAAACATCCTGACATATATGTGATAATGCACACCAAAAATCTGACAATTATTTGATTTCTAGAGTAATCAGATTATTGAAATGTCAAATGATGTGGGCAATTTCTTCCTGGTTGTTCACATTTGTTTTTGACAAGGAAAATTATGCAAAAAGGCAACCTAATGTGGCAAAGACAAAAATGAAAGAGAAAATGTAGAACATTTAAAGAGTTTTTTTTTGTTTTTTTTTTTTTGAAAATTCACCGTACTTTGTCGTTCAAATAAGTTAAATCCGTTGATTATGTGGCATATGTCAGTAGGTGAGTTTGATCATATTTCTTTACATATTAAGGTAGATGAGTTTGTAGTAAATTTAAATTAGAAAATGTGAGGGAAAATAATAAAAAGTGTCCCAAAAATATTGGCAGAGCTTATTTGTCATCTGTTGCTCTGGATTCTAAACAATCTGTATTGAAAACAAAAACAAA